TAATAGTTATAATAATAACTATTAGTAGGCCTATTAGTAGACCTAATAATAACTATTAGTAGTCAAGATTAACTATATTGGGTGGATAAGAAAAGACTCAGGGTCTCTAAAATTTTGGAGTTCTATCCAAAATGGAAATAGAATGTTGGTAGCTGGAAGGAGCAAAGCCAGAATGGAGAGAGGTCTTTCTCATTGTCAGCATGCTCAGATTTTTGTATTGATCCAAACATGGATATGGTACGTGAAGAACAAATTGGGATGGATATATTCAGGTGGATAGATGGGAATTCTTCACAGATTGCAAGAAGGCAACCAGTAGGCTTAGGGAATTCATGGCATAGAAAGAGTATAGTTTGGGGGACAAGCAGATAGCATAATGGTTCCATCACTGGACTCCCACGTAGTTGACTGTAGTTTGGATCCTGGACCCAGCGGCTTCAAACTCACGCTGGGCATGCGCGCATATGTACCCAAGATCTTGAGAAGAGAATGGAGGAGAAGTGATTGTGGGGTAGCCACCCCCAGGGGTGATTTCTCATTTTCTGTCTCTCTGGCAAGTGCACGTGCCTTATAGCAAAAAATCTCTTTCTCTCTCTCAAAAAAAAGTGTAGTTTGAGTTCTAGCTTGGAATTTTCCAAAGGGAAAACGGCTTTTTGAAACATGTTTGAAACTTATTAAAGCCAAATTCTAGAGAGAATGCCACAAAACTTATTAGTGGTAAGTGATGGGAGAAGTTAAATGCTAAGAAGTTTGGGCAGTTAATTTGAAGTCTTTATACTTCAGGAAAAATCTTGGCTCTTCCCATAAAACAAGATAATAATACAAAAATACTACTGTTTCTCTAAAACTGTTAAACATTTCCCTAGGAAACAAAAACTTAAAGATGTGTTTTATCTTTACTGTCCCATGGAGGAAGAAATAGAGAAAAAAGAATGCAGAAGCTAAATCAAATTACTTATTAAACAATCTCTCTTAAGGCCCAAAGGTATACTACAGTTTTTTAAAAGAATTATTTAATTTTATTGATTATTATATTTTTATTTTCACTTTTGCTATATGGCACATGCACTTAACCAGAGAAAGAGAGAGAGAAACTGAGAAAGCCACCAGGCCTGGGACTGAAACTGCAGTTAGCCATATGGGAGCCCAGAGCGTTAACCACCATGTCACCTGCTGGCCCCATTTTTATACTATAGTCTTGTAGGTACTATCTAAAGAAGTGAAGATTTAGGATACTCTAATAAAGTTTCACTGATGAACAACAACCATTAAATAAAAGGGCTGCAATGATGAGAGGACTATTAGGTGAAGAGGAGGAGAAGGCTTTAGTAAGTATAGAGAAGCTCCATCTTCCCTGTTGATCAAAGAGAAGAAAGTACACCAAAGAGATGTTGTGACCTATATCACCTTTAGAGAAAAATGAAATTTCAATCACTCTTGGGTATACACCTTGATGGAAATGCAAAACAGGTTAACATACTAACTTCACTAAGAAAATTATAACTAATATATTACTACATAAGTATTGGCTTCTATTAACTAAGAAATATATTATCAAATGAAGAAAACTGACAAATCAGTATATGGGAAATATATAAATTTTAAGTTTTAAAAACAAGTCAATTGTCACTATGGTATCACTTAATAGCTTAAATAAAAATTATTTGGCCAGTTACTGTGTATTTTCACTTAACTGTAACCAGGTTTAGCATTATATTAATTGGTAACTATTTTAGGCAGCATGTCCCAAAACAACGATAAGATGGGAAATCCTTAATCTGTTCACTAGTTTGAAATTCATGCCTGTGCTTTTATACTTGCAGATCCTAGCAGGTCAGAAAGTGGGTAACACAGCAGTCCTATGGCCTGGTGAAAGAAAGTGGATAACACATCAAGATAACCTTTAGACTAGCATATAGAAGAGACCACCACTATGTCACATGGAAATGAGAAATAAATGACAGTATGAAAGAAAGCAAGTAATCTTGAGGAGCACCGATTTCTGAGAGGAACCAGCAGAATGCAGAAAATGCCAGCAAACTTGTGCCACACATAGAAGCAAAGAGAAACACGTACCAGGTCCAACAAACAGTAGCCAGTGTAGCTGTACTCAGAGAATGGTGTTTGGGATGGAAGGATGGAAGCTGATGCCGTATTTTTAGGTTTTTATACAGAGAGATGAAACGGAGTTGAAAGAAACAACAACAATTATGGATCTTATTTATAACTGTCCTATGGGTAAAACTTTGCCCTTTGTCCCTTTTAACTTTATAGAGATTTCAGAATTCTAATGAGTATAGGTATATGGGTATAATTTAATATAGTAACAGAGTATGTTATCAAATTGGACTGAATGTCTTCTAAAGTCTTCTAATCTTTTGATCATTTTGTTTTAATATTATCCTACCACAATTTCTGGGAAGGGTACAGAGAATTTAAAATTTTTTATGTGACCCCAATTCATTATTTTATAGTTAAGTGTAGCATAAATTCAAGAATAATACTACTACACATAGGAGTTACCATGTATAAATTTGTTTAAAAATATTGTACTGCCATTGCTGGAAATTTATAAAGCTATCTGTTATAAACTAAATCATACCTCTTTCCAAGTTATCCTTCTGAAATCAGCTGACAGAGGAAGTTAGTGTTAATTTCCCAAGATCCTTTATCTTTTGACATGTTACCATCTTTATATCTCTGATCGTGTCAGGGATTTTGGGAAAACAGATTACAAAATTATTACCCTGTGATTTTTTTGAACATGTACTGATATTTATATTTACCTTAAACCAGAGCATATTTTAGAAATTTTCTCCATATTAGCCTTTTAAAAATGAGTACTCATAAAAACGTACTTTTGAAATCATCTGTTGAAGATACAGTATAAAATAGAAAAAAATGTAGGGACCAGCAGTTGGCATAATGGCTATGTCGCTGGACTCCCATGTAGTCCCCTGCGGTTCGAGGCCGGACCTAGTGGCTTAAACTCATGCTGGGCATGCATGCATGCATGCATGTCCAAGATCCGGAGAAGAGAACAGAGAAGGGAATGCGGACGTGGCCATCCCCCTTGGGGAGTGATTTCTTGCTTTCTGTCTCTCTTTCTGGCTAGTGCACATGCCCTATAACAAAAATCTCTCAAAAAGAAAAAAGAAAAAAGAAAAATAATGTATAGGTAAAGAGAATTTTCATCCTCTAAATCTGTTTTTAGAAGTTACATGTTTGAGGGGCTGTCAGGTGGTGTGGTGGTTAAAGTTGCTGGATTCCCACATGGCTAACCACAGTTTGAGTGCTGGGTCAGGTAGCTTGCTTTCTCACTTTCCCTCTCTCTTTGTCTTTCTCTGGTCAAATTAACGAAAAAATTGAATAAATTAATTCTAAAGAAAAAAAAGAAGTAACATGTTTGATCTGTCAGGTAGGCCATGAAAAAGATGAGATATCCTCCATATATTCAAACTGTCAATAAATTCCAAAGTTTTTATTAGTGTATAAATTCTTAAAAAGTGTATATGTATAAATTACATATGTGTCTATGTAATATATATGTATATACATTAATATGTTCATGTGTATATGCATATGATTTATAAAGCTGTATGGAAGAAACACATTTGGGTATCAATTATTATCAAAATTCCTTATCCAATAATACATCATTACTTTTTATTAACAGTCCAGAATTTGTTTAGCATCGTGTTTAACATTTTGAAAATCAAAACATTAACTGTGTTGTTTTCAAGCTAAGTGCTATTAAAAGATTTCTAACATCAGTGGTTAATTTGCTACTTACAGAACAAAAACTTTTGAGTTTTTTGGAGGGGACCTTAGTAGTCTACTTACACTCCTAAAACTGAGAGTACTTAATGTATATGGGACTATTGTATGCTAATCTACATTCATATGATGTTCTCATGAAACCATTTGACTAGTAAACATATTCATTATGGTTTCAAAAGAAAAATCTTTATTTTACTCACCAGGAAAATCTCTGGAATCTACATCCTAGTATTTTTTTTTTCTGCTGCTGTTGAGAATTGAATAAATTTGAGATTGGAACAAGAGAGAGAAGAGATAGATTTATTAAGCTAATCCAATTTTTATGACTTTTCCTCCTCTCTTAAAATTAGGAAATCTGTGAAAGAACTGCAAATGAATGTAAAGAGGGGTGGCTGTACTTCTACAGACATTTTAATGATTAAAAACTCTTATGATTTGTTCTGTAACTTCTGAACAGGGACTCCTCTTGCCACTTATTTTCCAATTTTATAATAAATGACTATAGAATCACGATGTACAGTTTTTCTTTGGTGTAAGAAACAGTTTTTCATTTTATAAAAACAATTAATTGTCCTTTTAAAAATTAATCACATGTATAGTAGAATATATTGGTAACATAGAAAAAGAAAAGGGTAAAAGATTAAAGCAAAGAATGCTTTATGGCATTCTAATACAGTAGAATATCAATCAGTGTTAAGGGATTATATCAGAGGTGAGTCTTTTATTGAAATTACACTAGGTGGATTCATATTATATAAAATTTAATATCAAATGGTTTATGTTATAAGAAGGTTGCTGTATTATCTCAAACATTAGGAAAAAAATAATGTCAAATTAGCCAAATAAAAGACAAAATATATAATAGATCATATTGGTAGTATTTCTAAAATTTGGAAAATGCTATAAAAAGGCATAAATACTATTAAAATTCCAAAAAATGGTAGAAGCAAAATTACTGGAATAGTAGTAACAAATAAATAAAAAATTAGACAGAAGTACATTAGTGACAAAATAGCAAAGCAAAGTAATAGAACCAAATAATTAAAATTAAATAAGAGACTATGTTCTAAAAGGTATTAAAGATTAAACATTTCTTTTAGAGTTATAAAATATTTTTATCTTAAATATTAAAAGAAATATCAAAGAAATATCAAAGAAATATGAAACATAATATCTAAAAATCTGAGAAGGAAATAACACAAAGCAGAGAAAATGCTATTCCCAGTGTAGTTATTATTTATGGAATGGATAAAAAACATGTTGTAAAAAATGTTACTACAGTTAGGTAAACACATAAAAACACCAACATGCCACACCTATACTTTTGTAGAGCAACTGAAAAAGCAAATTTCACCAAATTTAGACAGTTTATAGTGGAATAATTAAGTATGATGATGTATTAACTAACCCTAAGTTTCACAATGGGCAGCTTCTAGCCGGTTCGTTGAAGCTGGATCTCGGCCACACAAGGATCATTGGACAAGAAATCAGTTGAGCTGGACTAGAGCTGCCCAACTGTCTTAATAATGGATGCTCCACACTGTCTGTTAAGTAAAGAGAAAATATAGATCAAAAAGACTGAACAGAAGAAAAGGAATAAGTTAGAGTAGGTAAATGTAGAACATCAATCGACATTTACTAAATACTTACAGAATGTGGTACTAATTATATTAGTGATATGAAGTGATTAACTAGTCCAGAACTCAGAAAGGCTTATTCTCTGCTGAGAGCTTACAAACTGTAGTAGACAACCTCCTCCTTTTTTTCTTTCTCTTTATTTATTATTATTATTTTTTTAACTTGCTATAGGTGCATGTGCTGGAGAAAGAGAGGAAGAGAATGAGAGAAAGTGAGAAAGTACCTCCCACAGAGGATGACCATGCCACAATCCTTTCTTTTCCATTTTCCTCTCAGGATATTGGGTGCACATGCACATGTGCCCCTGTGTTTTTCTTTTCTTTTTCTTTATTTTTAAAAGGTTTTTGACATAGGGTGCATGTGCTTGCCGAGAGATAGGGATATATATATATAGAGAGAAGGAAAATGAGAAACCACACCTCAGGGGGAATGGCTGCGGCTCAATCCCTTCTCTATTCTCCTCCTGGGATCTTGGGCATGCACACACATGCACCTGGTATGATTCTAAAGCCACTAGGTCTGGGACTTGAACCATGGTCAGTCATATGGGAGTCCAGTGATGTAACCACTATGCCATGTGCTGGCTCTGCTCCTGTGTTTTTCAAGTCACACTACCTGGCTGGCTCTGTATTAGACAATCTCTAGTGTAGTATCATAGTATAACTGTTCAGTTCACTTCAGGACAAGCAGGTCATTGCTGAGTGTGAGTTGTAACATTTCCATCTAAAAGGTATGGTTTAAAAATGCACTTTTAAATGGGGAGTGGGACCAGCAGATAGTGTAGGTGTTACATCACATGGCCATCCCCCTTGGGGGGTGATTTCTCACTTTCCCTCTCCCTGGTGAGTGCACATACCCTAAAATAAAAACCTGTTAAAAGAAATGTGATAGAGCTAAGGAAGTCTACTATTTAAAATGTGTTACATAGGGGCCAGAAGGTGACATAGTGGTTGGGATGCTGGACTTCCTCATGATTGACCATGATTTGAGTTCCTGGACCTGGAGGCTTGAAACTCATGCTGGGCGCCTGTGTGTGTTTGCCCAAAATCCCAGAGGAGAATGGAGGAGAAGGGATTGTGGTATGGTGAACCTCTCTGAAGGGTGATTTCTTACTTTCTCTCTGTCTCTCTGGTGAGCGAATGTCCCCTATAGTGAAAATCTCTCTTAAAAAAGTGTGTATGGGGATCAGCAGATGGCGTAATGGTTACATCACTGGACTCCTACGTAGGTAACCACAGTTGAGTCCTGGACCTGGCAGCTTAAAACTTATGCTGTGTGCATGAGTGCCCAGGATGCCAAGAGGAGAGTGGAGGAGAGGGGATTGTGGCATGACCATACCCCCTGAGGGGTGATTTTTTACTTTCTATCTGTCTGGTAAGCACGTGTGCCCTATAGCAAAAAATCTCTCTAGAAAAATGCGTACAAAGAAAAAAATGGTACAAATATTCTTTGACAAAGATTAAAAAACGTGTAGTGATATAAATGGCCATTTATGTGGAAAACAATAATTTTCAACAATGTATTGAAATTTGTAATTTCATAATTATAGTAGCTATGATAGACTAATGGTACACAATTATTAACCCTGTTACTAACTACACTACTAAACATAATAAATCAATAGTTAAAAGGTCTAGGGTATAATCTGAGGAATTTAAAACAAAATTTTTTAAAAACTAGATTTTATTTTTCAGAATAGTACAAGTTCCCTTCACCCCTGGGAAGGGGCCAGCAGGAGGGGTGGTGGTTAGAGGCGCTGGACTCCCACATGGCCAACCGCGGTTTGAATCCCAGACTTGGCAGCTTGCTTTCTCACTTTCCTGCTCTCTTTCATTCTGTCCCTCTCTGGTCAAATTGAAATTAAATAAATAAATTCTTAAAAAGAAAGAATGCAACATTAAAAAAAGTATAGGGATCAGCAGTAAGCGTAATGTCTGTGTCCCTGGACTCCCATGTAGTTGATCGCGGTTTGAGTCCCAAACCCAGTGGCTTAAAGTCATGCTGGGCACGTGTGTGTGGGTGTGTGTGTGTGTGTGTGTGTGCCCAAGAACCCAAGAGGAGAAGAGGAG